CGTAAAGAAAAAAATAATTACTTAAAAAATATTTAAATATAAAAATTTTTTTAGAAATCGAAATTATAGTTGATATAGAAAAATAATTTTACTGACGGTAAGTAAATCGGATACATTATACTTCTATTAAATGAAATAAAGTCTATAAAAACTAATAATGAAAATATTTTAAAGTTGTAATTAAAATTGTCGCTAATTAAAATGAATTCTAACCTAAACTTCTTTTAAATTGTAATTAAATAAATAAATAAAGTTTACTAAATTAGAGAAATGAAGTAGCTATTTTGCCGTAAATGAATAAAAAAAAATTTACTTAAAAAATATTTAAATATAAAATTTTTAAAAATCGTTATAAAAATATACTTGATATTGAAAAATAATTTTACTGACGGTAAGTAACTCGGATACATTTTACTTCTATTAAATGAAATATAGTCTAAAAAACTAATAATGAAAATATTTTAAAGTTGTAATTAAAACTGTAGTTTATTCAAATGAATTCTAACCTAAACCTCTTTTAAATTGTAATTAAATAAATAAATAAAGTCTACTAAATCGGTGAAATGAAAATTTTACTTCAGTAATGTTTAAATATAAAATTTTTAAAAAATCGTAATATACTTTAAATATACGAAAAAAAAATGTCGTAAGAATTTGAGCCGTTAACAATATAATTTAAAAAAATCTAGACGACAGGCTTTAACGGAAGTTAGATTTCATTGAAAAATGCATCCCTTCCCACGACCCAAACGTAGCAATAACTGATACATTAAATTGTAGATATATTGAAAACCCAGTCACCCCTGTCTAGAAAAATAGATTTATCTGTAACCTTGGAAACATGAATTTTGTTTTAGCTGTGTATTTAAAACCCAGTAATTTTAAAAAGTTACTCCAAAATTCGCTTGAGGATGAAATGGAACTAATGTCTTTAATTTAATCACAAAATTAAATTCGTGGCTTTTTAGCTTCCATTTTTGAAACATGGTTAGAACTGTGTAAAGAAAAACATATTTTAAATCAATTAATTTATAATATATATATATATATATATATATATGTGTGTGTGTGTGTGTGTGTGTGTGTGTGTGTGTGTGTGTGTGTATAAAAATAAGGTAAATATCAAAGTGGTGTCAGGAGTCTGTTTCATGTTTTGTAGATTAGCCTGAACTCTCGAAACTCATTGTCCACATATATATATATATATATATATATATATATATATATATATATATATATATATATATATATATATAAAACCCTTCAATGGCTTGAAACTGGCCAGTGCCGAGAAGAGTGACTCCTTGGCAATAACAGGTGCTACAAGCATGGAGGTCTTAACGACCCGGAATTGGAAACCGGAAAAGCTGAGTTCCAATTCCTGTCGGATTCGTTGCATTCACTTACGCACCGATACCTTGGAAAAATATGAATTCAACCGATCCCCGCCGCCAGCTATGGATTAATTACTATGATTCTGTCAGTAAATCACTATTATCTTCAAAATAAATTCTTACAATCTAATAATATTTTTTTGGCTTTAAATAACATGCAAAAGGTTTGGTAAACCGCAAATAAAAAAACTGAATCAATCCGTGAATGTCTGCTGCATTAGCCGTCCTGAAATAAAACAGCATTGTTTGATGCGAAGGAGATTGCATATCTAATGGCAGCACATGTCCAAATAATTTCCATCGTAATCTGAGGATGAAAAGTGATACTCTGCATGATTTGTATCTTTTGTATAAATTAGAATTAGAGACGATGTGGGGCTACCGAGAATTCACGCTGATGATTAAATAAATAGTTTTCAGGCCGAGGGGAAAGAATATGAAAGATTGATTATCTGGAGGCTAGATATCTACAACAACGATGGCTCTGTTTTAACACCGGTAATATAAGCTCTTTTTTATGTTGTATATAGATAGACGATTTCTATAATAATTATTTGCAAACACGATCCGTTTAAAGAGTATAGTTGGAGTTAGCTTAGATTTTATAAAGCGTTATGTACGACCTACCGCTGATGGGATTATTAAACTGGTTCCTCCACCTTGTATTTCTAGTTGGTAGGATTGCTAGACATCCAGTCGGATTAAGAACAAGACATTTCTAAAGGTGGCTGCACGTTCTTGAAAGGCTAATAGCCACTTAATACAATGGCGCAACACTGGACTTCATAACTATGTTATCACAAGAAAAGCATGGTGGAGGAACCGGTTTACTCACAGAAGACACGAACATGCACCACGTAGTGTTGGTTACTTGGTGCCAGTAACACTCCTAGAGTGACGTAAAATGAATATATATATATATATATATATATGTTAAGAAATGGACAAGGTCCGACAATTTTATTTATTAAAGACATTTTTTATTTATGTTTAAAATAACAACGTTAAACATAAATAAAAATGTCTTTAAAAAATATATATATATATATATATATATATATATATATATATATTTACTTTATGAAAAACTAGGTAATCCGTATGGGTAAACCTGGGTGAACTAATTTATTACATGGAACCTTAAAGTGGTGTGTTTTTATTTTATTTTATATATATATATATATATATATATACGCTACAGTTCAAATGTTTGAATCCACTACCAGAATTTGACAGAAGAATGAAAAAAAAAATCAAGATTTATCAGTGTCATTGAAAAAAGAATGTATCAGTGATCAAAATTATACTTTGAGAAACTTTTGCAACCAAAGCCAAAAGTGTGTGCTGCGGTAATCAAGGCTAAAAGAGGATATTTAGACGAGAACAAAATTTAATCAAAAAACTTTTTTTTTTTATAATAAAATTTCTAATAAAAATCATCTCACAATTTCTTTTAACTATGTATAATAATTTCATCGTATTTAATGTACAAAAAAAAAACACTTTTGAGGCCAATTTGAAAAAAAAAATATTAGAAGTGGCCTTAACATTTTGTCGAGAACCTCAAGAGGAACAGCGTGGGCACCAGACCATATATGGCAATAGTATTCAATGCAAGGAGGAATGGTAAATTTGTAGATGGATTCACGCGGAAAAACCCTCTAGCGTGACACAGAGAACCAACTTTCCTTGCAGTAGATGAAGCTATTGATTCAATGGAGTTTTTCCACCACAGGTCAGTGGAGAATGTGAGACTAAGCAGGCGCAGAGAGACGCTATCGTGGAGTTGAGCATCAGCCATGCTGACAGGAGTTAGGGAGGTTTCTCTATGGGGAGTAAATGACAGCAGTTTCGTTTTGGATGCATTGAAGTTTACTAGCCATTTTCTCCTCCAGTCCACTACAGATTGGAGGTTCTTTTCAGGACCAATGGCCAGGTTAACTTTATCATCAATGCTGTATTTACTATCGAGACAGGATTAAATGGTAGTGTCTTCTGCGTTTGTAATGTATAATATGTATGAATCAGATTTTTTATTTGACAGTCCAAAACGACCGTCGTTAAATGGGGCAAAAGGTAGCTTGTTAATTTTATTGCCTCCAAAACTAAACTTCTCTCCATTAATCATCTGAGAAACCCTTTTCTGTCTTCCATCAACATGGCTGTTGTTATCGTCCAGGAAAGTAGGGCTTCTCAGGCGAACATTCTCTGCTGTCATGAAGTGGAATCCATTGCTAGGTCAGTTGCTAAGAAAGTCGCTTCACTGTGCTGTGCGAGAAAATTTTTCTCTCCATAATATCTTCGATATCTATAAGTCTACCATTCGTCCATGCTTAGAATATTAATATCACATATGGTCCGGTTCCCCTGATATTTAACTTAATCTCCTTGTTAAAATCCAAAAGAGAATCACCAATATTATTGGTCTTGATCTAGTGACACGGCTTCAGTCACTTTACCACCGCCGTAAGGTTACCTCTCTGTGTCTTTTCTGTAAACATTTTCATAGACATTGTTCTTTTGAGCTGGCTAGATGCTAGCCGTAAAATTCTATGCTAACAGTTTATTTCCTCGCATTTCTCGCTAGTGGAACTCCCTTCCGACTCCATGTTTTCCAGCCAACTTTGATGTTGAAAAATTAAAATGGAATGTCAATCGCTATCTACTGTCTTCCTGATTAATTTTTTCTCCTTCTGCTCATTAATAATATTTCTGTTCTTAATTCTTCCACACCCTGTAACCCCTTGTGTCTTAGCGTCTTTACTACCTTGCATGGGGTGATACCGATTAAAAAAATAAAATAAAAATAAAAAATAAATAAAACATTGGTTTTAGTTTAAAACCAAACCTTCTTCATACCATTATAATTCCTGCCAAATTTCAAACAAGCACTCACATCAAACTCTGGACAGAAGTTGTTTACAAGACAGAGAGTAAACTTGGTGCTTTGAGTAAAGATGTTGGGCCATTCTCAGAAATATAAGTACTTTACAAATAGATAACTCACTTCAAAGAAGTTCGAGACGAAGTTGAAAATAAAAAACAGATTGGCAGACCGTCAACATGTGCGAAGAAAAGTCAATGCTGTTCAGTATTTTATTGAGGGAGAGATAGGCAAAATCTACCACTTCGTCCCCAGCCCCTCATCCTCCGGCGTCCCCCTCCCTGGGTTGAGGTGTCCACTCGGTCCGAACCGAACTTAGGGGTAACTGGCCGTACGCTCCCTGAGTACCCGTAGATTATTTCGACCGGTCAACTGGTCCTGCTCGCTGCCCACGCTGTGTTAGTTTTTAGATCCAGTAAGCGGGGTGTTGTCCATACGTTCACGGTCGACTGGGGATGTGAACACGGCTGTGAGAGTTGGCGCTCGGAAGTTTTAGAATGTGGCAAAATAAAACAAGAAATAATATCTGCAGAAGCCAGACAACAATGGGGGAAATATTGACGTCTTTTATATAAGAAGATAACATCAGAACAGAGGTTACGGGGAGAATAAAAACATTTAACATAAATGAGAAAAGAAAAAGAAAATCAGAAAATGCATCCAGCGAATTCCCAACAGAGAGATGATTTGTAAACGCGTATTGAATCACCTGGGGTAGGTTTATGACTAATAGACCCGTCTCATACAGACTTTTCAGAACAGGGAGCAGGCTTCTCTCTCTCCTTCAAAATTCTCCCGCAAATCTCTCGACTCACTGCGACGATAGTCTCGTAACTCTCTCGACTACAGTCTCTTTCCCCGACCCTCCTTTATTAGCAAAATCTCGAGTTAATATAGAAAAAGGATCAGAATTGACCCTCGACCCGGCACGCGGCTACCACGAGTGCCAAGCCTATCCCTTGACATGTAAACCTATTCTCCAATTATTTACCTTATCTCAATCACGATTTCTTCTCGCTTCACCAAAATTATACTTTGGGATATCTAAACATTGATTCAACCTTTTAATCAAAACAAATACTGTTAAACAAAACCAAGTATCTCGCCCATCCCCATTGTTTACTAGTGACCCAGGTTTAAAACATTGCCTCCTGTCCTGAGATCGTGTTTCTAATCGGTAAACACACATCTTAACCCGACAGCCGACACATTTATATCGTAAAGCCTTAAGTTTTTAAGCAAATATTCAGCTCTTTAGGCGTCGAGATTCCGATGCTCAGGTCTGTAACAGGTAAGTGCCGAGATTTTAATCAGCCATTGCGATGGTTACCCAGTGGCTGAATGGGTCCAGTCAAACAAAATGCAAGCTAGTCAGGTAGAAATGTTATGGCGATAATTTTTTGGGACTCTGAAGCAATTTGGTTAAGAGTAAAAATGACAACTGACATCTGATTAATACGAAAGTGTTTTTAGAAAATTAGATTTAAGATGTGCTGTTCTCTACCCTACATTTGCAACATCCTCGATCAGCTGTCTTCATTTTAAATAGATTACTACTCTGAACTGTTTAACCATTATTTCAACCACATATCAAACCTTTCCTACCAGCTCAAGAATTCCTTATAAGGGAAGCTTCTTCAAATCTCTTTTGTATATGTATTAAATGAGCTGAATCAATCATAGTACCATAGATAAAACCTGTTAGTTTTACACTCTTGTGCAAATTAATTATAACAACCGCTGTAGTTTCCTTTCTTTCACCATACGGTCAATTTTAGACCCACTGGATTGACAGGGTGTAATCGATTTCTATTTTTTCCTCAGATTAGGTCATTTGCAGTGGTGTGCAGTAATATGAATCTATTTTCCGGGTGTATGATGAAATTTGTTTGGCTTTGAAAAATATTGCGTCATCCGTGATTTCATCAGATTTTTATCACGCCCAGACACTGTTGTCTCGACTCACCATTAGTTGTCCTACGGCCATTATCTGCGGTGAACGTTACTCCAATTGTAACACTGTACGAACACACTGGCAAGCCTTGCCAGTGGGCAAAACAAAGTATTATAGACTGGTCCGGAAACTCTCCTGATTTAAATCCAAACGAGAATCTAGGGTCAATCTGCAAGGAACGGCTTCGTGGAATGAACATAGGAAGTAATAACAGGTGCACTGAGTGATGTTTTATTGGAAAAATACGAAAAAGAGTAAATAATAACGGGATTATTTGTTTTGTTTCAATTAATTTGCACAAAGGTGTACACTAGTTAACCGTTATCACTCTGTATGTGACTTCATTTGCTGTACAAAATATTTATCCTGCCACTCGAGGTGAGTCTGGTCCCTGAACAATAGGGTGTTTGAATTTTATAGTTGTGTTGCCATATCCTGCTATGGCAACAGAAAACAATTTCGTGAAATTAACAAGACTGTATTTGTTACGGCTTGATGAATGCAGTGGAAAAGGAAGTAATATTAATAATGCAAAGCATTAAAGGTTAATAATAATTGTTGAGCTTAATTAATGTTACTGGTGACACCGGTGTCTTTGGTCTTTCAAAAAGATAGCCAGGGCAGAGAGGAGTCATGCCTGATCTCTGACAGTTCTTCACCGATATTCCTGCGGATACTGAAACGCAACGTGGATGTACAGGAATAGCGCAAAGCGAGCTCGCCGGTGACAGTTTGATTTGGTTTGTTTTGCAGCATGTAAACCTCAATGGGTTATTTAAAGCCGACAATTTTTTTTATTGCTAGTAATATTTTCTCTTGTCAAAAACTGTTTCTGGTAATACTTTTCCTTCAAAAATGATTTGCTGGTAATATTTTTTTTTTCAAAAGTGATTTCCTGTTATTATTTTTTTTCAAAAATGTATTGCGGGTAATAGTTAGCTATTTGCCCATAGCTTGGTCCCTAACAGGTGCTACCACCAAGGATCAGGGTGGAGTTGGGAACACCAGCAATTAAGAGGTGATTACACGCTCCTCAAGACCTGATCAGAGGCCTTGCAGTTGGACGTAGTTTATCGTCTTACCCAGGATGCGGATATAGTTTATAGTCTTACCCAGGACGCGGATGTTGTTTATCGTCTTACCCAGGATGCGGATGTAGTTTATAGTCATACACGAGACGGCTCGCTGGAGACGGACCAACAGATCAAAGTAAATGTAGCATTTAGTGAAGCAGGCAAAAGCGTCGCACTTAGCAAAAGAGTGACGTCGAACGCTTCATTGCAGAGGAGAATCCTTTGCAATCACGTTAATGTACCCTGCCAATTTCTTTCAACAAACGAGGAGACACTTGCGAGAAATTTAACGGGAAATCACGTGATATCGACTTTATAAATCTGGTTTAAAACCTTCTGGTATGTGTTCTTATTTCCTAAGCGACATAAAAATGCTTTGAAAGATACAGGAATACAAAGACATTGCTTGCTTGCTTAAGTGCCATGCCCGATAGACACGTGGGAAATCATGTCACTCCACCTCGAACGATCAAGACCAGATCTACCTTCAGTTCTTTGGGATTCTATTGCGCTAGTTCAAAGGGTTTGTAGAAATTATGCCTTAACTAAAGTCCGTAGGCTTTACATGCTTAGCCATTTATGTAAGAAAAACGTACTCTCAGGATTTTATTCTAATTCTCTGTAGATACTCAGCGAACGGCGTAACGCATTTTCTAATCGCACTCAAAAGGCAATTCAGCTTTATTTCGTTTTTAACGTACCTTTGAAAATATTTTACTGTAGTGGAAGAATTTGAGGGAAATCACATAGGCAGCGCTATATAAATATACTGTTTGGTAAATATCCAGAATTTTGATTGATGTTATTTTTTTACCAAACATAATTCGCCTGAGCTTAAGAATTTTATTTTTTTGAGCTCTTAGCATTTGTTGCTTCTTCTCAAGAAAACATGTGTATAAGGTGTTATTTACCCTATGAAAATCATAATATTAATCGATATCAGGAGGAAACGGCTAGCGAACTCGATTCAATCGGCTGGGGATTACTGATAAGAATAATAGCCACAAGGACCTTAGGATACAAGCAGTAAACAGTATCTTTACTTAGCACAAAGCAGAAGGCGTCAGGGATCTGCTAGGATTGGCAGTTGCCTGTATACTCGCAGACTAAATTCTACAAAATAGATAAGAAATGGCCTCTGACAAATCGATGATCGCGAGATTCGAACCCGGGTCTTATGGTCAGAAAGCGAACATTTTAACCACTCGGCTACATAAATGCAAAATCAATACCGTTCTTTAAAACTCTGGTAGAGCCCGTCCTTTTCAATTCATTAATTCGCTCCAAATGTGATGCGTACTACTGTCTTCTTGCCCGCTTCCCTTCGATCAGAATCTGTAACCACACACAGACTGTAATAAAGCTTTTTGAATGATATGACCAAGAAATAGACTCTGTCATTTCCGTCATGACCGGTAGTAGCCTTCTTCTCACTTCATCTCTTCTCAAAACTTCCATGTTGGTCAATTTATCCGCCTATGGTATTCGAAGAATTCTTCTTAGAAACCAAATTTCTATTGTTTCGATATTCTTCTCAAGTTCGGGGTTTAAGGTCCAGCCTTCGCATCCATAGCTCAGTTTTGACTGTATGTATCAGTTGAGCAGAAGAATCGTCAGCTTCATAGACAGGTTTCTGTTGACGAAAATGGAACGCACTTCCTGAAATTTCGTTTTCGCAATGGCAATTCGTTTACTGAGTGAAGTCTTAGATCTCGCGTCTCTTGGAATCCTTCTTACTACAAAGCAGAAGGCGTCAGGGATCCACTAGGATTGACAGTTGCCTGCGTACTAGCAGACGAAATTCTACAAAATAGATAAGAAATAACCACTGAAAAATCGATGATCGCGAGATTTGAACCCCGGTCCTATGGTCAGAAAGCGAACGTGCTAATTACTCGGCCACACAAAATCAAACACAATACCGTCCCTTAAAAGTCTGGTAGAACCTGTCCTTCATTTCTAACTGCAGTCAAACATTGACGCTTTATTTCGTTGTTGACTGACCTATGTAAATATTCTACGGTGGATGAAGTTGTTTTGACAATCATATGGGCAGTACTGGCCAAGTTGTGATAAATTGTAAGTTTTGGAACTATCCAAAAATTAGTTTCATGCCTTTATCTACTTTTTTTTTTCCAGGATAGTTCACCGGAGATTATGATTTTGAATTTGATTTATTTATTTTACTTTTATTTTTTGGCTGTTACAATTTTTTTTTCTTCTTCTCAGGTAAACTTTGCATGTGTATAAGGTGTTATTTCCTCCATGAAAATCATGAAACTAATCGATACCACGGTGTAACGGACAGCAAACACAATTCAATCGACTGGGGCTTACAGATCGGAATAATAGCCCCAGGGACCTTACGATAGAAACGGTAAACAGTATCTTTACTTTCCACGACGCAAAGGGCGTCAGGGATCTGCCAGAATTGGCATTTGCCTCTGTACTCGCAGACAAAATTCTAAAAAATTGATAACATTCTGTTAAACCTTAGACCGAATTATACAAAGTAATAAACAATGGGGACCCACACAAAAGCGCATGCGCATGGTTAGATGTATACAAAAACTCTCCCTCTCCCCCTCTCTCTCACATACACACTCTCTCTCTCATCATATGCTCTCTTTCTCAATTCATCTCTTTTTCTCTCAATTTATCTATTTCTCTCCCTCTCAATTTACCACCCTGCATTTTCTCTCTCACTCTCTCTCTCTCTCTCTCTCTCACCTTATCTCACTTTTTCCTCTTTCTGTCAATGTATCTCTCTATTTCTCTCCCTCTCAATTTCTCTCTCTGTTTCTCTCTTCCAATCTCTCTCTCTCTCTCTCTCTCTCAATTTATCTTTCCCTTACTCCCCCCTCTCTCTCTCAATTTATCTCTCTCTTCCTCTTTCTCTCTTAGATTATCTCTCTTTTTCTCTCTCACACAATTTAGCTCTCCCTTTCTCTCTCTCAGTGTATCTATCCCTTTCCCTCTCTCTCTCTCTCTCACTTTGTCTCTTTATCTCACTCTCTCTGTCTCTCAATTTATCACTTTATTTCTCTCTGAATCTCTCTCTCTCTTTCTTTCTCTGTCTCTCTCAGTTTATGTCTCATTGACACTATCTCATTTTATATATATCTCTCTCAATTTAACTCTCTATTTATCTCTCTCTCTCTCTCCGTTCATCTCTCCCTTTCTCTATCAATTTATCTTGCTTTATTTCTACCTCAATTTATATCTCTTTCTCTCTCCCTCTCCCCCTCAATTTATCTCTTCCTCTCTCTCTCTCTCTCTCTCTCTATCTATCTATCTATCTATCTATCACTCTTTCTCTGCTTCTTGCTGTTTTATGGATCATAATTATCAAAGGTAGAAAATATCTCTTCTAAATGACGTTCAATAATTCCTGCTGGCAAAACTCAGATAAAGTGCCAAATAGATACATATATGAATGCACCCCACTCTATATATATATATATATATATATATATATATATAAATATAAATATATATATATTTATTTATGTACATATATATATATATATATATATATATATATATATATATATATATATATAATCATTTATTAGAAAATTACACCATAAAAATGTTATAAAATCACTAGAAAAATAGCCATTTTGTTTCAACACTTCTGGTGTCTTCTCAAGTGATGGAGTTGGATGTAGAATCAATCAGTCAGACTACATTCAACACCATCACTTGATAAGACACTAGAAGTGTTGAAACAAAATGGCAATTTTGTAGTGGTTTTATAACTTTTTTATGGTGTAGTTTTCTAATAAATGATTATATTTGCTCTACACTGTATTGAACACTCTTTTAAGAATAGTATTCGCTGGTTATTGGAATTTATTTCGTATACACCAGTCCTATACTTGGATATATATGTATATATATATGCATATCTACCTATACACATATATATATATATATATATATATATACATACACACCCCTATATATATATATATGAATGCATACTCAAATATTTTCTCTACCTCTTCTATTGAATAAATAATATAATATATTATATATAATATTTTGCAAATGGTTCATTTATTGACCAATAACTTCGAAAAAATTTATGTACATATATATATATATATATATATATATATATATATATGTGTGTGTGTGTGTGTTTGTGTGTGTTTAGGCAATAAATATTCATCCAAACAAGTTTAATTCTTTATTGCATTTTTTCTCTTTTCCGGGACAGGTGCTGCGTATTTTGCTCGAAATTGTGGATAAACTGCCTGAATTTCATTTTTTTTTTTTTTTTTTTTTTTCTGTTCAAATTCAGTCGACTTTCGCAGTCATTATCAAGAACCGATGTGATATCTGTGTGGTATTTATAATTCATTTGTCTGAATCCTGCTCTTCTTAGGGGCGCTGGACGTTTGAAACCGTTTAGCGTGACGTCACTGCAACAGCGATTGGCAACGAGGCCGCACAAAAATACCATTTATTTATCTATTACTTTAATTTTATTTTTTTTTATTCTTATTTTATATTATTTTTAATTTTACTATTATCATTTCAATACTAATAAAATATATACAGAAGTTAATTATATCATATGTACTTCAAGATAACATCTCCCGTGATGAATATTATTTTATATAATGTGGGCTGTTTATTTTGTATAAAAAGAGCTTGTTATCCGCTGTTATCTACTAGTATTTGTCTCATGTTGATTGCCGCCCATGATTTGTTGCTCGATGTGTGCACAGATTGCACTGTTTCGACAGGTGACAAGTTAGTCTGCGAGAGTGTGTAGTGTATGTGTTCCAGTGTAAGAATTTAATCTTGTTTTTAGATTAGTGTTGGGGATGCAAACTCTCAGAGGGCATGAAAAATCATAGTCAACATGTTTACATAGACAGGATTTATAAAGACCGGCGTTGTTGCTAATAATCAAGTTAGATGTTTTAAAATTATAGTAGGTTTTTGTTGAGTGATATGTACCGGTGAATTATGTTTTTTAATCACTTTTTTATCCTGCTTAATCATTGGGCTGCATTTGGTTACGATAGAATAAGTTAATGGTGTGTTTATTTTTGTTTCCATTCAGGGAGGGGATTGGTACCATTATTTTTAATACGGATATAAAAAGAATCACATAGATAGATAGATAGATAGATAGATAGATAAATAGATAGATAGAAACAGGTGAAGATACAAAAAAAAGAAAGAAAGGAAGAAGCAACATATATAGAAAGAAACAGATGTAGATAGATTGATAGAAAAAGACTGAGATAGATAGATAGATAGATAGATAGATAGATAGATAGATAGATAGATCGAAACAGACTGAGACAGATAGAGAAAAAGAAAGGAACACGTATATAAACATAGATAGATAGATAGATAGATAGATAGATAAAAACAGACTTAGATATAAAGAAAGAAACAGACGCAGATAGATAGATAGATAGAAACAGACTGTGACAGATAGATAGAGAGAAAGAAAGAAACACATATATAAACATAGATAGATAGATAGATAGATACAGAGTGAGACAGATAAAATTAGATAGATAGATAGATCGATAGATAGATAGATAGATAGATAGATAGATAGGAACGAACTTAGAAATAAATAAAGAAAGAAAGAAAGAATAGTATATGATACAAAAAAGAGAGTTGCCTGCATTAAAAAGTATATTGCAAAAATATCGTTGGTTATTTTGAAAATCACAGCATGGATCTGCACTGAAATTTTGTGCATATTCACTGAGAAGCTAATTTTCTTCTTTTTTCTAGAGCTTACGGTTAATTTTTTTTTTCTCTTGTATCTCAAAGAAGATTAGATCCTCATCTATTTTTATTCAACCTTCCCAATTGACCTATCGCTCTGGAGACGACGAATAACAAGTAACACGTCAATATCGCCACACTCACTTAGCCGCCTTTAATAGCAAAAGCCAAAATAAATTAAAAAAAAAAAAAGAAAAGAAAATTCTTTTTCGATAGAACAGCCTCTGGTGTCATATACGGATTGCTCGCTGGTTTCATTTTCGTGATCGCAAAATCGCATCAATGATTCAAAAAGTAAAATAGTCGTAAACAAACAGGAAATATGCAAGAAATAAATTCAACACTCACCCTCCACACACACACACACACGCACAAACACACACAGACACACACACATATACTTATACATATACATATATACACACACACACACACACACACACATATATATATATATATATGCATACGCACACACACATATATATATTTATATACATACGAACGCGCGCACACACACACACACACACACACACACACACACACACACACACACACATATATATATATATATATATATTGTTCCAACGAGAGAGAAAAGTGTACATTTTAAAAGGAGAGAGAAACCGCAAATTTTTGGGTTGCAACATAGATTTAAAAAAAAAAAATATATATTATGCTTTATTTGCCATAATTTTGCAACACGGGTTTCGGGTCTCGCGACCTTCTTCAGGCAAAGAGTGGATATTTCCACATATTATTAAAACGAATTATTTCTCCCTTCTATTTTCCGATGTCAAACATTCTCTTTTTGTGTGTAGTGGTGACACAAATGTCTTTCTTGGCCTGGTGGTGAGAAAGTTCTTCTGCTTGCAGGTTAATAAAACAATGAAAATTGGTCCGAGAAACGGTGAAGAAAGATATCTTTGTTCTTATCTTTTAATGACCCCTGCATGTTCTTAGAGCGATTTCCATTTTTGTGTATTATGTGTGCATTTTTCCAAGTATATGCATGTATATTTCCTCTACATACATACATACTGTCTTATTTTTAAGGAATTAACATACACACACACACACACACACACACACACACACATACACACATAATATAGACAAGAGTTTTCTATTTATTTTATGTAAAATTAATTGTTATGAAAAGAATTTACATAAAATAAATAAACAACACTTGTCTATATTATTTAAAGAAAAACTTATATATATATATATATATATATATATATATATATATTGTGTATATTTAGGCAGCAATTTTTTCATTAATGCATTTTTCATTAATGCATTTTTCATTAAATAATATAGAGTTTTAATATAAGTTTTGTCTATTTATTTTAAGTAAGTTTCTTTCATATTGTCTGATAAGCTTAATAAGATTATCATTGAAAAACGAAAGGAAATCACCAACGGCTTCCCATACTTCTCGTTTTCACTCTCGCGTGGTCATGTGTGACGTCACGAGCTTTGATGCGATTTTCGCTTCCGCGTCTCGTATACACGACTTTGTCGTTGCTTTTAAATTTTTCATGCAACAAAAACAGACTAGAATTATTGTTTCGTCCGTGTATTATTTGATATACTGAAATGTAATTGTCATCTTTGATAATGGCTTATGTAAGATAGGATTTAAATATGGTGATTTTCTTTCGTCTTTCAATGATGATGTTATTAATCTTATAAGACAATATGAAAGGAACTTTCTTAAAACAAATAGACACAACCTGTCTATATTATTTAATGAAACATACATCAATGAACACACACACACACACACACACGCATATATATATATATATATATATATATATATATATATATATATATATATATTCATTTTCAATGAACAGAGAATGTTTAGATAAAAGGGTAACTGGAATATAGCAAGATTTTTTTTGTCATCTTTCTGAAGATATTGCAGGTGATGGAATTTCTTGTTGAACATGACTTGGGTTATCTTCTCGTATATAAGCAGCTGAATGCTAAAATGGCAACGTTTAATGCAAGGTCTCTTTTACAGAGACGTCAAGCAACAGAAATCTGCTTCTACAGAAGGATGCTGAGAATACCAAACATGAGAACAACGACGGAGATTTAGAGAAAATGGAAACCAAAGGAGACAATTGAGGTCAGAAAGTGACAGGTGACATTTCTCGGACACTTAAACGGAGAGAGAATCCTTGGAAAAGGTCATACTTACAGGACAGATTCAAGGGAAGGAACGCGAGTTTGAGCAATTGGATAAGGGATCAAGTATTAGAACAGATAACAAAAAGACTAGGATAGGAAGTAGTGGAAAGCCATGACCGGCAAAGGCCTGAAGGAACACGGTATAGAGAAGAAAAGGAAGATAATAAGATATTCATTTTTTTAATCTTATGTTTTGCAAAACAACTATGGACAATGCGTTTTAATTCTCTGGATAGTCACTATCCAGAGAATTAAAACGCATTTTCGTATGTTCATAAGATAATCATTTGCAATACGCAATTTTATATATATATATATATATATATATATATATATATATATATATATATATCACAAATCCGCATTATAACAAAAAACGTTTGCAGTTTC